TCGAAAAGGAGAAAATACAGGAAGGAAGGGTCTCGGGCTCTACCTACTTCAGCTATCTTAATGCTGCTGGATGGATGAACTGGGCTCTGTTGGTTGCATTAATGGTCTGCAGTCGTCTGTCGTGTCAGTTCCCGTTCATCTTATGCACCACAAGCTAGAAAATACCGCTGAAACTAATCCCGGCCCGCTTTAAATCACACACAACTTCGGTCTCTCACAGCCGTTGCTTCACAATGGGTGTTGAAAGTAAATATCTTCTCGAATTACTTGTTATTCTCATTCATTATTATGTGCTCACATCTTTTCCAATCTTATCACGACCAAAAGCTTTGGGGCGAAGCCTATCCCCATCCAACTCTGGACCTTACTGCGATCTATGATCCTACAAAAGGGTTTCCTAGGCCTGATGTGGATGTCCATCCATGGATCCGGCTGTATTTTATCATCGGTTAGCCATCGTCAATTTGGTTCATTTGCTGCTCTGTTTTGTATGAAAGATTCCCAATGTCAAACTGATCAATCCAAACTTTTTCATCCTTTGTTTCATAGGTTTAACGACTGGATTCGTCATCTTGGCTGGTTAATTTCTTCCCCACCCCCACATAAAATCGTGCTTGGAGGACGTGCTCATCTGATGACGTTTTTTTTCCGATTATGCATGCATAATAGGCTTGGCCGTCGGCAACTTTGCCGAGTTGAGAGCTTCTCGGAGGTTGTTTTCTGCTATGCTGGAGCGGATTGTAAGGGCGCCCACACGATGGTAAGTCCCACTTGATTGGTTCAGCATGACTACCAATTCTAATGTGTGCACGTGTTTTGTGATTGAGGTATGATGTCACACCAGTGAGTGGACCTTCTTGGCTCCAGGTACTTGCACACTTGGACCCGCCTTTCTCATCCATTGCATACTTGACATAATCTAGACCGGAAGGATCCTGAATCGATTAGTCTCAGACATCGATACCGTGGATTTCGCCTTACACGAAACTTCCGTCGGGGCGATCCGGGGTCAGTGAAATACAGAAAGTTTATTAAAAGGAGGGTGATGACTGATTTCACATGATTGCATTTTTTTTGTACAGGGACCATTGCTTTCCTGATCTCTTTCATCGTCATCATCCTGGTCGTGCCTACATTTACACCTATTGCCTTGGTCATTGCTTGGTTGTATATCCGCTTAGGACCCAACTACATCAAGACCTCAAGGGATTTACGCCGCTTGGAATCCGTGTCTAGGTCGCCGATGTTTCAAAACTTCTCCAATGTACGCTCACATCATACACTTCGAAAGACTCGGGACATCTGGTTGATGATTTATTTTTAGCTCTTGTTTGGTATCCAATCTATTCGTGCTTATGCTGCTGAAGATCGTTATCAAAAGTTCTTTTTCAACTCGTGCGATACTTTCCAAAGTTAGTCAAGGGATCGATTCGTCATAGTTTGCCTCACGCTTTCTAGCCAAATTTCTAACCTGTGTTTTGTGCTTGTGTTTCGTACGAAAGCGATGGACCATCATTATTGGTTAACAAACTTTTGGTTAATGTGGCGGTATGATTGTAAGTCAGGAGAATAGGAAAGAGAGTCTCTACTAGTCGATGAACTAACCAACATTACCACGTTTTTTACGTAGGTTTAGGATCAGTGGTCGTTTTCTTGACTACTTGTTTTGCGCTGTTATCTGGCGTCGGCGAAGGCTTCGCAGCCATCAGTGTTGTCCAAGCCGAAATCTTTGCTCAAGCCACTAGATCATTAGTGTCTGTTTTTGCCCAACTCGAGTTGGATTTTAACGGTGAAATACGATTTTTCTTTATTCTCTTCCTCCTAAAAAATAAAAATTAACGGGCTTATTTTTTTGTTTGAGTCGTATTTTTGTAGCTGTTGAACGAATTACGGAATATTTGAAGATCCCACAGGAAGCACCCGCGGTCAACGAAGCCTTCAGACCCCCCGCTTATTGGCCTTCCGACTCTTCGGGCTTGTTCGTTGATAACTTGGTCGTCAAATACGCGGACCATTTGTCGCCTGCTCTCAAGTCGATTTCATTCGAAATCAAACCGAGAGAAAAAGGTGGGATATATATCTCTGACCTCGGTTGCCATCGAATTATATGCGGGTTGACTTCTTTTTTCCTTGCTGTATTCGGGGTTTAGTCGGTATCATTGGCCGGACTGGATCTGGTTTGTCATGACACGATGATGCGCATTACATCCAATGTTTCCGTTGACACCCTTTTCTTCAACGTATTCAGGAAAATCTACGTTGGCGATGTCCTTGCTAAGGATTCTGGAAGCGACAGAAGGGAGAATTATATTAGATGGGATAGATATTAGTTCAATTGGTCTGCAGGACTTGCGGACTCGTATTGTGAGTGGTGTGAAGCCATAGTTAAACTTTCAGATGCTTGGTATCCTGGAAAGGTTGAAAGATGATGTTTTTCTATTTTTGTAGACGATAGTGAGCCAGGATGTGACATTATTTGAAGGGACAGTGCGAGAGAACTTAGATCCGTTACAGTCGCATAGCGATGAGGAGTGTTGGCAAGTGTTGAGGAGTTGTGGGCTGGCAAGTTCGGCAGCGATGTTTGGGGACGACGCGGGGAGCTTGTCTGGCTGCCCCTCGACCGACAAACTGGGGCCCGATCATCATCAGCCGGCTGCGAGTGCAGTCTTCCTCAAGTCCCTGGACATGAAGATCAGCGAAGGCGGGAAAAGCTTCAGCGTCGGCCAACGGCAGATGCTTGCCCTCGCCAGAGCTATGCTGCGCAGATCTAAGGTCATCATCATGGACGAAGCTACCTCTTCTATCGACTTGCAATCCGACGCTCAAGTACCTCCCTTTCTCCTCCTCTCTTCCCTTTTTTTCTTCCTCTTTGCGTCGCTCATATCATCTTCATCATCTCTTTTTGTTTTCAGATTCAGTCTACCATCAGAGAATGTATGGGCGACACCATGGTCATCACCATTGCGCATCGATTGTTTACCGTCGTAGGTTCGTAACTATGTATCCATCTCTCTATCGACAGAAGGAATTTGTGAAGCTCAAAAGACGAGAATGCATCGATCCCTTTATGACCTTCCCCGCATTTTTTTGTTTTGGTCATCATTATGGGTCTATATGGACACACACAAACACGCAGATTACGACAAGTTAATAATATTGAAGGAAGGCCGAATTGCGGAGATCGGGGCGCCTAAAGAGCTGATTCAGCAGCCGGAGTCGCTCTTTAGGAAGATGTGTCTGGCTAGTGCCGATTGGGCATCGTTGCAGCACCAGCTGGGCTGTTCTTGATGATCTCTCCGCTCTGCGCTCCAAGAGGGATCTCTCTCGTTGGGGCTCTCTGTGGTCTCGTCGTCGTCTAACTGGTTGAGTTCACAGCTTACATTGACTTTTTCTTTGCACACTTTTCTTTCTTTTCTCGTCTTTTTTAGTTTAATGTTTTTAAAATGATCTAGCAGTCGCATATAGATTCACGTTACATCCATGTAGATCTCGTCACTCGTGTGTTTGTAAATATTTTATGTGCAGCTCAGCTCTGGTAGTAGAAAACAGCAGGAAGTCAACCAGAAATGTGGCTTGGTTTGTTCTTAGTCTTGTGTTTCTTTGCGCTCATAGAAGAAATTTTCAATCTGCATGTGCTTCTGTTTTGTTGAGGAGGGGGGAGTTGGCCGAGGAGGAGAATCTTGGATGAGGAAGAGCCCAGCTGGTATAAGTAATAATCACCTCACACTATTGCAGTCACAGAAGACACGACTGGAATTCATTGATTTTCATTATCAAGAGGAAGTAAAAAATAGTTCGCGGGATGTGTGTGCCCTCCCATGCCATGGTGCTTTCTCTGCTTTCTGGGCAGCTTTGGGTCGCTCCTTCTTCGTCGTGTGTGTGCTGTAAAATCATAGCCTGCCTATGAGTGGGTTTCAAACTTGACTCTGGCAAGCAGGCAAACCTTTTTTCAGAAAGTGAATAGCGTGAAATTCAAGGGGTGAAGTAGATTTTATGGAGGAGGGAAGCAAAACATCTGTCTGATGGTCTGTCTGCATTAATCCACAAACAAACCTGAATGAATTCCGGCGGAAGGATTTGCGGAAATTATTTTCTGAAAGTGGCCTGCATGTGGGCACAAAGCAACTTTGAAACCCACTATTAAAACTCCGGTTTGTCTGAAGTTGTGTGCAAATACAAATATGCTGTTTGGGCATATGATCCTGCGCTTGGTCTGGTTCCATCGGAAAAGTGAATCGCATCGGAGAGCCTTGCAACCAACCCCCTTCTCATCCACATCAACCATCCCAGCCTTGCTTTGTAAATATGTTGATAGTGTGGCAACATTGACATTATTTCAGAATACGTCCTCAGTCAAATTGAGAGCCCATCTTCCCATCTTCTGGTGTTCATGCATCCACCCTGTTTGGCGGGCAAGCTTGGAGTATGTGATTCATAGCCAGGAGACAAGAGGGTGTCTCTAATCCAGAGCCTTCTGCTGTCCCATGGTTGATCCACGCATGGCAGAGAATCTGCTTTTATTAACTTGGCGAGGCGGGAGGGCAACACCAAAGTCATGTATGGATGGTCCTTTAGAAACACATGTGAGAAGGATTAATGGACACATAGTCCAAAACTTCTAATATCATTCTAGTGACCATGTCATATGTTTTACTTTTCTTTCAGGCTCATCCTTGAGGAGAGACCAGGACTAGTCTGCCCGACCTTTCCATGCTGGCTCTCCACCTCACTTCAATGGCAAAAACAAAGGCAGCTGGATCACCCTCATCCCGTATTTCTGAGCCTTTATGGTATCAACAGAAAAGAGAAGAAAAAAAGTTCGCCCCAGGCTTTTCTTGCCTCACCTTTGTTATCATGCGCTTATGGATTTTCTTTTTGCACAGTTGGATTTCCTACACAACCACCAAAACTAATGTCTTGCAAAAGCGCTTCGATGGTCATTGTGGCACTCTAGAACTTGTCAACAGCAAAACGACCGGTCAAATGCCGGTGGTATATTCACCTGTCATTGGGAGTCGAACCCAAGTTACCAGGAACGTGGACCAAGAGGGCTAGGTGGGCCAGGTGTCAGTCAAAACCTGGTGTCCTAACCACTAGACGATGACAGGGACGTCCCGGGGACTCCAAAGAAAGTATCGATACCGACGACCAGCTAGGTCTCTTTCCGTCCTCTTGTATCAAGACCTGCTAGGAGGGGCGCTGGTAGCATTGTGATGGAGAACAAGGCATAAAAAGAGATTCAAGTCGAGGGAATCTTACTGGGTCCTGATTTCTACTTTCGTTTGAGCTATCATCTTGAGGAATTCGAAAGACGATTAGGGTGATGGAGAAAGAAGTGGTCCTGTCGGATGCTCATTCATGTACCACGTAGAAAGGAAGAAGAGGTTTGGATTGTCATTCCAGCGGCTGACGCGGTGTTTCGATCGCGTGCTGCGCACCACAGGGTGCATATTCAGAAAGACTCGCCCGGCACCACAGGGTGCATATTCAGAAAGACTCGCCCGCGGAGAGGGACGTCGGTGCCCCGACCGACAGACCAGTCAGGTCAGCACAGTAACTTTTAATTTGAGCCAATCTCTTCCCTCCTCGAACCACACTTGCTGATGACGACGCCCATTAAGAAACCAAAAATACTGCTGCTGGAGGAATTGAAACACCAATTGACTCAGCCCAGCAAGAATACCACGCAAGATACCAATCTCAGATTTTTGGATAAAGTGTAAGCAAAACCTAACAGATATATCTCCGCCTGGCATCTTCGTATCATCCACAACTTTACTCACCCAAGGATATGTTAGTCAAGATCCGACTCAGCTAACTTCTGCCGCCCTTTCAGTCCTACTTGAAGAAGAGGAGCAGCCCCCCGGCGAGAATGAAGAACGGGAAGATGAGTCGACTCAAGTCAGAAGCAGGACGGACGAGCTCGCTTTGGCGCTCGAGGTACTCAACCTGGTCTTCCGAAAGCTGAAACTCACTAGGCGGAATCTAGGTAACCAATCTGCCAGTGCCAATTTAAACACTCTTCCACCTGAGGTCTTACATCAAATTGGTAACGCGATTTGGGCCCATTGGAACACACCCTCTCCGACTATCTCTTACAAAATTAAGAATGCATTGAAGAACTTGTTCGAATACATGAATAGCTTGCGGATCGATGTTTCTCAATCATCAACTATCCAATTCCTTTTGGAGTCGGTCAAGCAATCAGTTTTACTTGAAAAACGATCATTATCCATTCTTTCATACCTCTTGCCTCACATGTCGCTAGAGGAGGCGCTCCAAGCATTTCGGTTATATGCGCCTGGGCCTTCGGAATTCCTTGGTACCATTTTGGGCGCAATCGGAGATGATAAATTGGCATCAGTCATCGGTCAATTGGCGGTGCATTGGACAAGCAAAGTTGAAGGATGGGATTCGAGAAACTACAGCTTGACTGAGCTCTCTGCGCAAATCCGCACAGATTGGATCTCAATCGTCTTCTCGATCTTATTTTCGTCTGAGGAACGTAAACGCCAGTATCTGTGTCAATATTATCTGCTACCCTTGTTCAAAAGTCGGCCTCGATGCTTTACCGAATTGACTGAGATCCTTTCCTCCACCAGAGGACCACTGAGTATTGCAAATAGTCTATTTGATTATCTTTCTGGAATCATCGCCCTAGCCCGTCTCAATCCTCGCCAGAGCTGCAAGCAAATCGAACCTTCTCAAAATGAAACAGACCTGCAGCCCAAGCCTTGGCTCCCTGATGCACTCCTCAAAGTGGCGCTATCACATCCGGCGGTGTCACTTCGATCCTCGGCATTAGCAATCATCTGTCAAACCTCTGCTCCCACCTCCCGTTTGCCACGACATCATTTAGATTTGATCCTGCACTTTTTTTCTTGGAATTTCGGCGAAGTTGAAGCGGAATTGAAGCAAAACATTTTCAGTAACTTAAATGTTTTATTCAACAGGCTTCGAGATTCTTCTCATGCTTCAAGGAAGAAACTTCCAGAATTTTTGATCAATCAGTCGAACTTGAGTCAGATCAGCCGTGTGCCTCCGATTGAGAGAACATCTGTGAACGACGACCATGAAGCCTCTCAGTTGAAGGACATGGCCAACGAGGCTGAGGCTTACCTTGAGGCAGTCCAAGCCTTCGTACTGAAATTTTTGAAGTTATGCCGGAGGAATTTGACGATATCTTCGCCGTATCGCTGCCAAATGGCGTCTTTAACTTATCTGCAGATCTTGCTTAACACCGGAATAGATCCACTCTATACACCACCCAGCTTAACATGCAGTCGCCAAGAAGTCCAGAAACAATCTAGTTTTCCATTTGAAGTCAGAATCGTTGACCAATCCCTCATCCACAAGCTCATCTTTGCCTTAAATAGTACCTACGTTGATGTGAGAGAAGCCTCCTTCACGCTCCTGCAACACTGTGACGCTCTCGATTTACAGTTTGGGGAAAACTCTCGCTTGATGAAGCAAGTGATCTCGTATGCTCTTCAGTGCTTGAATTCTAGGAGAGAGAGTGAGAACTGTACAGCCACCCTCTTGTTTCGTCTCATCCTGGAAAAATTCGTCGTCAGGAACGCTCAAGTCCCGGTATCATTGCTGCCACGTAATAGCGATCAGCATAAAACTACTAATTCACTCGGTTTGTTTTCTTCTTGTTCAAGTGATTTGCTGTTCGTGGGGAGCACCAGCTAATCTTGGCACTCTTCACTTCGTTCAAGCTGTATTTCTGCTTGGTAGACTTGGTGACATGGAGGATAGAATACGCGCATCTGAAATCAATCTTGAGAAGGCTTGTGAAGAACAGCCTACGGCAGGATCTATTCTGCTCATCAGGTTTTTTTTTTCACCCTCGATCATTGTTTTATCGCTGGGGTGAAATATGTTCAAGAGTCTTACTTTTCTCCTTGCCATTTAACACAGTGAACTTTTCAAGTGCCTCTCCAGGGATATGATTACCTCATTGGTGGTCTCCAATGACTTGAAGGATATCATGGAACGGACAAGGAAGCTGGTTCTTCGCATATGGAGGTTGAGTGCGGTCGTGTTATGTCATTCGAATGACCGACAAAGTGATGCAGTGCCAGATCACGAAGAGGCTCGAGCCTTTGAGTTGATCTCCACTGGGGATGGCGATTTGTTGGAAGAGGAAGGCGTCTTAGCGGGCAAGAAACACAAGAATAGACACAACTCTATCCTCAGTGCTTGTTGGCGGAGCATGAAGGAAGCCAGGTGAGAGTCTCGAATTGGCCTTCCTATCAAATCTGATTTTTTCGCTCACGTAATAACCCCTCCGCCCCAGCGCACTGCTCACGCAAACGGTTAAGCTCTCCCTCATCGCCCAGGAGCAATGCATGTGCAACAATCGCGAAACATTCCTTAGCTACAAGGATTTGAAGGAGATTGGGGAGTTGTTTGAACAATGGCTTCTTGAGATCAGGCATCGGGGCGCTTTTGGTGCAATCCATGCATCATATGCTTCATTATGCGATTCCCTGTGCACCTTGCCGAATGGATCCACATCCTCCCAGCTGCCGTTTTTGTGGCTTCAAGTATGTTATAATCCAGAGCTCAGTCGCGGGAGGCATCCACCACGCTCATCTCAATTATTCATTTCCATACAGGCGCATATTTCTGCCATTACCAGCCGACAGATTTCGACGACGCGTCGAAGTGCGGGCCTACCTTATTGCATCCTATCAGCCTGCCAAGCGCTGTCAAAATCCAGTCCGAAAGAGTTGAAAGACTCTCTGAGTAGCATCTTGAATCTTGGCCAAAGCCAACACATTTCTCCTGATGTCCAAGTACATGTCCTTAACACTCTCAAGATTCTGCTCACAGATGGCAAGGTCTCATTCCATTTCAGCTCGGTCTTCATCGAAAGAAGCTACGATCTTGCCATCAAAAGTTTTGTCTCTTCGGATTGGAGAGTCCGGAACGGCGCCCTAATCTTATTCTCTGGCTTGACCAATCGGGTCTTTGGAACCCGATCCCTGGCGTTCGATCGCTCTCACTCTAATCTATCCAGACGAGAGAGCTTATCAGGTGCGTATCGTCATCAGCAGTACTCATGAATCTACGGACATTCGATTGACCATCGAATCTGCTCTACACCCTCAGACTTCTCCAGAAGATTGCCTACGATGCCATCGATCTTATTGAATGAACTACGGCGCTCCACCCAAGCTGGGGTTCACCTCGTTTCCACTAGTCATTCTCACGGTCCAATTTTTGCTGTTTTAACTCTCCTGGCCCTCCTTCAAAATCCTGACGGTGCTCCGGCTGCACTCGAGTTTCTTCCGCTTGTTCGAGAATGTTTATCAAGCAAGGTTTCCAAGGTGAGGAGCGCACTAGTGTCCTCAGAATTATTCCCATTTTTCGTTGTTCATATTCTGCTGTTTTACTGCGTAGATCAGGTCGATCGGCGCTGATGCCATGACGGGGATCATACCTTCCACTCAAGTCCCCGCTTTGATGTGCGATCTTCTGACTGAAGCTACCAAGTCACGTTGCCATAATGAGGTAGGTAAATCTCTTCCATAACGTCTCGCGTGGCTTACTCATTTCAATTTCTGAAATAATGATCAAACAGGTACACGGTCTGCTGCTTCTTATCAACCGACTTATTCAAGTACCAAGGGACATGTCGGAGGATCAAAAAACAAAGGGTTGGTTCATCGTACTTTTGTATACACGGCTGACAGTTTGGAATTTTACTGGATGTTTTTTTTTTTTCATTTTTTTTACAGTTCGAGTAACCCTTGCTACATCTGCGCCTTTGTTTCTTCACTCCGGGGTGATGCCCCTCGTCTCTCAATCCTCCTTTTTGGAAATACTTGAAGGCCTTGAAAGTAGATTCGGTATCACAGTCGATTCCAATCGTCTTTTTTCTTCCGAATCCCTGATGGAGAAAATTCACGAACTGCGGAGTGTCAAAGCGCCTGCGTTGAACTCGTACGAGATCCAGGCAACACGAAATATACTGCGACGATCCCAAGACAGAGAAACCGTGTTGAGACTTTTGAAGATGGGATCAACTCCCACGCGGATAACGGTTTTTGGGTTTCTGACGGAGGAGGCAAATCGGACGATCTTGAACGATCCCGAG